CCCCGCAATTGACAGTAGAATCAATGCCCCCCTGCCCAATGTCAGCAACACAGGGTGCCGCTGTTCTTGTCGTTGTCATCGTTTTTGTCGACTCAATTTCATTTTTTTGACCTTCGCCATCGTATATATCTTCTTTCTTCACGTCCGCGTTTTTGCGTCCCTCTCTTCGCAATGGATACATACACTATCATATTATACGTATGAATTGTATATATAATACAATAGACATAGGACGACAGTAAAATCGAGAAATGGTCGTTCAGCTGTTGGCCGCGGTTCACTTGGCCGCGGCCGAGGAGCGGTGGCTGTGGTCACAAGCTGTCATTGCCTGCGATTCGACAGGGCGACTGGCGACGCAATGACGAAGATGAGGACGGCAGCAACCCCACGAATGTCGCAGCAGACGATCCTACGAAGATAGAGGGAGAAAGGGGAAAACCTAAGAGGGACATACGGAGAAAAAATTTGAAGATGATCACCGTTTAGAAACGGTGTGGGGGGCGTAGGCTAATGGAACGAAGTAACGAAGCTCTCGTTTTTAAGAGCTACAGCATCTTAGACGATTTCATCCATGACGTCGTCATCTTTTATTGTTTATCGTGTGTTCCTGTGTATATACGCGATGTAGGTGTGTACGACGGCACGTGTTTGATGGGAGGTGCTTGTCTCTGAGAACCACTGATGCTCTTTCAGAACAGCTGCAACGACAACGATAGCAATAACCACTAAAAACATATGGAAATTTCACCGATATCGAAGTGGCGCAGCAGTTCGCTGTGTTGATAATAAAACGCTCAAATTATCTACTGATAATAATGGTAATAGTGCCGTTACAGCTGCTCAAGCTGTAGACTGCTCTTCGTAAAGATTTCATCTCAGGTCAACTAATAGGATGAACGCTAGGCCAAAGCTAGATCAAAGGGTACATGCAGTACATAGTGGCTTACTAAATTTTCAAGCCGTCATACGCTCACGCCCTCGTTTAAACAGCCTCGTTTAAATATGCCCGCTAAACAGGCATATTAGATACACTGAGTAATTATTCATGAATGCATTAAGTAAGATAAAGCATGTATGACAAGCAGATGATGTTCGGTTGAATTTACGGATCGATGTCGACATCACTAACAAAAAGGAATCTCGTTCTTTTAATGAAAAAAAAAAAAAGATGGATTTTATTCTAATAATTTAAAATCTCTATTTTTTTTGTTTCCGCTCTACCTCTCGATAAGAGCGACAGTGAAAAGAACGATAATGTGTTTTCGCTTGACGCTGCATTCGTAATTACGAAGGTGAAGATCATGAAAAGTGCTATCTAATGAAGCGTAGAAAGCCTACAAAGAGGTCTCGTACTTGAAATGAGTTCTGCGTAAAATGAGTAAAATAGATGACTCATCTATTCCATGGACCATTATGGCTACAAGCAAACTGTCCGGCTTTCCATTTGCCGCTGCCCATAGTAATTAAACAAATAACAAACACATCGATAACATGAAAAAAATCATTGATTATCCTATACTAATATTAATTATCACTGGCATACGAAATCAAAAAGCTTCATGCCTCGAAATATATCTTAATTCTCTTTTATCCTGTTGTATACTGCAGTGTGACGATAGAATCGAGCAGCGCTTCATTGAGATATGCAATGAAAGAATAGATTGTCTCAGGTGTTCTTTAGGCAAAACTCATGACGCGATCCGATGACTGCTCTGTTCGACCCAACAGAGGAAAGGAGAAATATCTCGTTGGTAATAATAATTACGACAGCCAAGGAGTGATTGTACAAGGGCATATTAAGGCGAATTTTACCGCGTTACATCCTGTAGCCACATGGCAGGACAGTTAGGGCTAGCAAAGGGTCGTATGTACATATGGAATTTGAGACGTCTGCTGTTTCGGTTTCCAATTCAGCTAGCCCAAAGCTACCACTGAGCATCACTCAATTATACGTAATGTGAAAGCAAAGAAATATAATACAGATAGTTTCAAACACATCTATTGAATATCCGACAAGCTAGCTCTTCGTTGTTGGGCCCAACGACGACAGCAGTCAGAAGAACGAGAGGCCAATTCAAATAGAATTCAACTGTGTCTCGCGATACAATTTGCGATCAGGTAATTTCTATCTGTTTATCAATTATAGTGAAACAAGCGCCTCTAAAGGGAAGAATATCTCTATTAATTTGACAACATTATCGCTCAAAAGGCGCACTTAGCGCGGACCAGCTGAATCGACATCTGTGGCCATAACAGCATCAACAAATACAGCATTGAATTTCGTTCATTTCGTTATTTATTTCGTTGTTTTACGTTTGAAACCTGACGCATCGACCCATTGGCAACAACAGTTTTCAACGCCACTTTTCGGCAGCACCTCTCTGCGAGCTGTTGTTACGACGTAAGACCAATAACAGCGACGATATCAGAGAGTCGATGGTCGAGAAGGGCCTTTAGTAGCGGTCCTAGCATAGCAAAGTAGGCGAAGAAGACAAAGTCCGTGACTTTCATCTGATTTTCAATTTCCCTCCTTGTAGTGCTATTCCTTTTCTGTCCTCCTAAGGCTTCCTGAGAATTAGATCATTCACTTGAGCCACCGAGACGTTGCCACTATGTCGACATCAAAGAACATCGAGCCAATCGAACATGTGACAACGGCAGCATCCTACAATATTGTAAACGTGCTAACGATAGAGACGTGGCCGATTTCGTTGAGCATCGCGTATTCGTATTCCTTCGAGATAGACAGCGGCTAGTGGCGTGGCGATCGCCCCATAGTATCTCGTCATGATACTTTTCAGTTTTTCTCTCTTTTTTTTTTTTCCAGAACAGCCACGCTTACGTATCGCGGTAAAACAAATGCATTTTCTTTCGATGCTAAATTTATATTCCTCTGTTATTGACTGCCTTTTCGGACAGTATGTAGTGCAGCTTCCTTCCCTTTCTGCTTCCTAAAATGTATCGGTTTGGCGGATGCATAAATGAGGATATGGGTCGGAACAGTCTCTGCGTGACAAATTAGTGTTGAATGACCCAGCAGGTTGGATGTCGTGCGAAAGAATACTGACTAAGACAAATCGGCGGTGACAGCGGTAAATGGCAACGCTCGATGTCCAGATTTCCATTTAAAAAAAACGCGCCAAAAAAGATAGAGAGTTTAGCGCCAGTTATAGAGACGCGACGATTGGACGCACAGTAGAAAAGCGGTCCGTCATTGTAAATACAGTTGTCATCATTTCGTACTGTAACAACATTTACTTGTTGTTATTATTATCATTCAAATAATCGTTCTTAATCGAATCGTTTTATAAGGCGGTATCAATCGACCGATTTATACATTCGCCTTCTAAATATTAACAAAAGAGGTTCATGATGATCTATCGCTTTTGTTGCTACTTGTGTGCGTGCTTGTTGCTAGCAGTGGCTTTGATGTCGAATGTGATTAGTACAAGCTGCTATAAGAAAAACTGGAGGGTAATTGTTTTTAATATATATATATATATATATATATATGTTTTTTTTCGCTTGTCCTCGTTAATAAACAGATTGAACATTTTTGCTTGCTACATGACCGCGTGGTTAGCTGAGTTTTTTTTAGTTGAACTATGCAGCAGAGTGTCATGTACAAGAGCAAGATTGTAAGTACGATTTTACAAATCAGTTTGTAAGGTGTGAACATTCAGTTGCGTATGTATATGGCCCACTTTATATCAACATGTTGAGCCTTTTCTACCATTGCAGACTACTAATGGATAAATAATAAAATAAATATAAAACGGTAAAATATAGAACGCTTGTCGTTTCCGAATCTCTATTATTTCCACTGTTTTTCTTCATAAATGTGACTGCATTAGCTATGGTGTAAACATCGATCTGTTCACCGCAAAGCAGCAAACAAGTTCATCGCTACAGAGCGCCCCATCATCGCGAACTGCTACTGCAACAAAATAAATGATTTTCATTTAGGTCTACGACAACGGCTGGGTTACATGATGACCTAGCGATCGCCATGATTCAACGAAGCCACTATCTACAGGTTCTCATTGACGTCGTTTTCCCGTATTGCCTCCGCGGCTCATTCCGACCTGTACCATTCGGCCTCTTGTGTTCTAGGGCACTGTCTATCTGTGCATTTGTCTGCGTATGTGTACGTGTTTGATAACTTGATAAATGAGAGGACATCGATTACGATACGATGCGAACTACTGCCGATCGTTTATTGGCGACGAAAGCGGCGACGAAAAAGGCGCTGTCGAGATAACGTTATCAACGGTAGACCAGCTGATTTCAGCCGTCTGATTTGGGTGGCATCTCCATTATTGATTTTGCTGTTGATACGGCTGCTGCCAACACTGCAACTGCAAAAACTGTTATGCTTAGTTCGCTAGAGGTTTTCGGCCCAGGCATCGACCCGACAAGCAGTTTTGTCGCGTTTGGTTTAAACTCTGGCTCAGCCAATAACCGTTATAAAAATGGCCTTAGGGTTGGTATATACCCAGGCATTGTATAGTGGATAGGTAGGGGTAAAGTGGACGTTAAGCGACCAGACTATAGCAGATAGTGAGAACTGAGAATCATTGGTACAGCCGTCTCACCCGCGTGCGTGTTAGATGCATCGAAAGATGTGGTGAATACAATTATGGCCACTGTATAACCAAAGATAGAACGAACCGTTGCAGCTGGGCTGACTTCGAACGAATGTTGAAAACCTATGCCAAAGAGTAAAAGTGAGGTTCAAGCAAAAAAATTAAGGCGACACAATCTATATGAATATATATATATATATATATATATATATATATATATATATATATATATGCTATTATTATCCAAGTACAAAGCACTTTTCAAGCTGTTTAAAGCACTCACTACCACTGTTAAAGATAATAGCGAAATGAAACGTTGGATTCGACATCACATCCAATAGACAGGAGATAGAGTAAGAAGCGAGAGATTTTAGGCATCAATGATTTGGTCTTTTATTGCTCTGTATGAAAAATCATCCACAAATATACTACTTTTTTGTACAATCAGAGATTGTTCGACCTGTCCAACTTTTACCGAATCCGGTTGATTTGACGCGAACGGATACCTTGTAAAACTGTTACAAATAATGAGATAATCTGGTGTGAAGATGAAGATGTCCTGTATGTTTTGCAAACAGATAGAGTGTGTCAGAAAAAAAAAAGATGAAATAAAGTTAAATTGTGTCCGAGAATCTACTAAAGGTATTTTATTCATGACTGACGTACTTCATCTTATCATCAAAACGTACTTCGTTTCTTGTTAAATTCTTGTCGCAAATAGCCATTCTAAATGAGACATTGCACAATTAAAATTAGGCGTTAATATATATAACCATGTATGTGTAATGATCTATTGACATTGATCTATTAACAGCGTGAAAGCTTTCGAGTTGAGATCTTTAGAACCAAAATGAACCGTGTACACGTTTAGTCCCAGAATCCTGTTTATTTCACTGCTTTTAACGGTCGCTGAACAACCTATTGTTTCATTATTCTTCAGTAAAGTTCAGGCAGCAAACGGAACGAAGCGATTCGTACTAGCAAGGTTTTTAGGTACCTTGCCAGTATGACAAGGAAGAAACTTCGACAAAAAACGTGTCTTTGGAAATTACACGCGAAATCAGCATTGACATCGGCAGTGTTCAAAGAAACACATCATGACGAAATAAAGACACCTGCACCCGATTCGACTTCTTGGCGTCCAGCCCCATGAGGCAATCAAATCCTTATAAATGCCGCTATGCTTCGGATTAAGTGATGTTATTGCAAGCAAATGATACCGGCTAGAGATTGTCTTACACAGCTTTAAGTATCGGAGATTTTCGTCTTCTCGCGCTTCTACCAGGAAAATGTTCACTGTTACACACATCTCAGTCTTGCTCAAGCAAAGCGGGATTACCGCTAGCGTTGCTCACTAGATTGAACAGCAGGATTAATTTACTAAGCAGAGGCTTGTCTGCGAAGGACTACCTAGCGTCTCTGTTTCACAACTTAAACCTATGTACCTAATTATCGCTGCCGCAATGTGGTAGTGCTATCGATATCGGGTACAGTATGTCTAACTTTCGTTTATGAAAAAAGGGGAGGAAGCCTAGAACTAATTTGATTTGAAGCAACAATCTCAGCGTCGACAACTCAATACTGTCAGTGCTGCTGTTATCGTCGTCACTATTATTATTGTTGCTCATGTTGTTGTTGTTGTTGACAGCCACATCGAACTGGATAGATATAAATTATTCGTTTTTTTTGCCCATTTCCCATTCTTTTTTGGTATCTCACGTTCATTCTATTTTCCGTTCTTCTGCTGGAGAGCCGCCTGGGCGTGCGCCCCTCTGCTGCTGTTAGTTCTGCACTATCGACTAAGCATCAGCTTAAAGAGCCACAGCGCTGTCATCATCTCCCTCGGTTTTCGCCGGCCTCAGAGCTCCGCTCGATGGCGGGCGCCTGTCGTCACCCACTTTCCCTATTTTCTCTCAAATGTTCGTCGCTCAACCGCTCTCTTCCGGGCTTACCACCTCTAGTCGACCGTTCTTCCAATGGCCAATGCACTGCGCACCATCATTGACGTAGCCCCCTGTTTCTTCTTCTTGTTCAGGCCCGCGATGAGAGAGAATCGTAAATCTTCATCAAAATAGTTGCTCTCAAACGGAGCGAAACGTACGAACCATCATATTTTATCCTCCTGTCGCGTCATGCCTGCCGTATCGTTACGGGCGCAGGCCATCGCGGTGCCAACGCCGCTGCCATGTTCGCTGGCAGCAGGTACAGAACAGCTCCGCTGCCATTTAAACATGTACAGTAAGTATTTATATAGAGAAAAGAAAAACCAACGGTTCAACGACGAGCGGTTCGCGCCCATAGAGCATACAGCCACTGAATAGGAACACTGTTGGCGATTACGCTGTTCATTGGGTAAACTTTAACAGGAAGAGAGATGATGTTAGAAGCGGCTGAATGGGCCAGAGCAGGTGAACTTGCTGTCTAAGTTCGTGCCTCCTAATGAACAGGCGAAATCTCAAACAAACGCGAGGGGCAAAAAATACGATGTAGTAGATTTGCGGAAAAGGAATAAAGGAAATGAGACGTTATGGTCGTGTAGAAGATTTAGGTTGACCAGATAAGCAGAGGAATCTCATCATTGTGGGGGAATGGGAGAGGTCTATTGAATCGACTGTAGAGCCGATTGCGAGAGCTACATACGCATAAATGACCGAACTGCTGTTGTATCATTCGTTGATAAAATCACCTAAAACGAGGCTTTTTGCGCCGTCAATATATGTTGCTCGTCTACATGTGCTGGAATAGCACTACGCGTAAGTTGTCAACCCAACATGTTAACGACGGTGGCCTTTCCTTCATACTGTAGCCATGCCGTATCTCACCGTGGAGCAGGGAACAAGACTAAATAATGATGTTAAAAGAACAGAAACTGGCTGGTAACGACTAACGTCAATATATAAAGCTGTTTTTACTGTTTGTTCTAATTATATTAGGTAGTCATAGGAATGACTCTTTTTGTATTCGCTTTCTTAGATACAGTTTATATCTGATTGATAAAATGAAGTATCACGGCACCGTACGGCGATATCGGGATTCACTATATGCCATAATTATCATTTCGGTAGCCCTCGGTCAGTTAGCATACTTGACTTGGTGATTAGCTCAGATAAGCAACCCTTTTTCTGTAAATATTACTAACCTTCATCTTAGAGAAAACGAACGTTTTCGATGGTAGTAGCCCGGCTTGTTCATTATTCTAAAACATGAACCGAATCTGATTTACTCCCCCCTTGATGGACTCCCAATCAAGGTTTAAGTATACCCTATTCAGTTCAAACCCAACTCATAATTTTTTCAGCAGTTTTTTTCAATGACGTCCGGTTAGTAAATTGTCGACAAAAAATTGCAGCCCATTTTTCAATTTGTGCGCTCCTCCTCCTCATGAGCCGTGAGCTTCTTATTGTGTTTTTCAGCCTTAATATAATAGATATTTGCACCAACTTATTCGTAGACGGTAACAATTTTATTCCGGTGGAAAATTTGACGGTGCTGCCTTACAAGCAATACGTCCCATTGCGTTGTCTGCATGCGTGTGCTCTATGTGGGTTGTTTGTACCTCGTTCTCGGTTTGATGATGTTATCATCTGACAGGTACCGAAATCCATGAGAGGGCGGCAAATGGGGCTGGCTTTTCCTTCATACGCCCATATACCCGCACAACAACAGCAGCAGCACAGCGTCTACGAAAGTATTTATTTGGCGTGTCTAAAGAAAGCGATCGATTAATCGCGGCCTCCATTTTAAAATTCTATCATATTATATTGAGGAGCTTGAAATTCTACGTTTACTCAATTCGATTTAGGTACTTCAACATGTCCTAGCACAGTTCCATTGCTAGAACCAACTGCAGTGATCGCCGTTCCGAAATATAATGTAAATGTATAGTTATCGTTCTGTTGGTCTCCATTCAATGAAAACGACAAGGACCTTTGCAACGTTCGATCAGTTACCTACTCGATTGTGTGCTTCAGAGGGTGGATGCTTCAGATGCGAAAGGATCCTGAAAGAAAGTCAATCCCGAAACGGTATACAAGACATAAGCATACAATTCATAATGAACTTATATATATATATATGTCATACATGTCATGTAATACAGAAGATAGCGACCTTGGTTTAATTCAACGTTCGGACACTCAATTCCTTCCGATACGTAGTAGCAACAGCCATGCAACAAATCAAACTATGATCGTACGTACTTAATAATAAAATGACGAACCCACAATCGATTCGAGCGAAAGAAGTTCAGTAGAATAATTAATTGAGCGGTAGCTGTTATAGAATCGTATTTGAAACGTTGCCCATAGTAACTCTATCGGTGAAGTACGCCTACCCATTGGGTCTGCACTTTTCACCCTTAGCCCCACTTCGCGACTGTCGGTACGACCAGACATTAAATGAGTGCTTGCAGTATTGTGGTGCGGAATATCAGCGGGCGACGTTCTGTTTCAGCGTTTGTACGAGCGTTTAGTTCTAAGAGTGGTCAACCTGTATCTGTCTGTGTCCGTAGTCCCATTGTGTCGACAGCAGCGGGAGCAGAAAGAAACTTGTCTATCAGTGACTAATCCAGCAGTAAAAGAAACGCTTTTCGGGGCATCCATTCAGCTTATGATAAATCACAGCAGATTAGCATTGTCACACGCGAACCCTCTCCGAAAGGTGTTGCTTCCCTGGAATATCCGTGACACGCGATTCTATTGTATAATGGAAGCAGTCGTATTGACTCTCCCGTCTGATAGGAGCGGCTGGCTAAATTTAGCCGTCCGGCCGTATCCGACCAGGAACCCGTGTGGATATGGAGTCGGATCGAAATAACGCTTAGCGGGAACGATGACGGTCGTGGGAACCGGTAGCGTAGATGTTTTGCGGAGTTCTGCAGGTCTATCAGGACTGTAGCCTCTATTAGGATAATAGTGAGCGCCTACGCCGAAATGGATAAGGAGATGGACTGCAAAAGAGTCAAATGGCTTGTTGTTGTCTCCTCATAGATTAAGCTAGCCGATCAGTAACGATGGCGACAATTTTTTGGGCCGAAGTGGGGTTATCGAAATGACGGGATTGCCATAATTTGTTGCTATAGCCCGAGATACGTCATAACGCTCCTGACGTCCGGATACACATGAGATTTTTATAGATAGGGGGAGAAGTGATTTATTTCACGTCCGATTTGAGTCAGAAAACAATTATGCCATCTTTGTTAGCCAGTACATCAGATTAGGTAGGTTCTCTTTATTGAGCTTCTATGTTTGCTATATTTCTTCATATTTAATTAGAGAAGCACAACAATTGTGAGTCCATAAATCTAACTCACAGATTTAAGCATTGCCGAAGCTCTTTTTCTTTGAGGCCAGTTCTAGTCACAGCTGGTTCAATAGGCCTCTTCATACGTTCTTTAATTCTGCCACAGATTATTGCCTCTCGTCAAGTTAAATGCTGTCAAGTTTCTGCTCTACCCGGTCCGTACTAGCACCATAAATCTACGGGATGCGTATGAATGCTCAAAAATTGTCGTGCCTTTTATACGCAGATCGTTTTCTACCTTCCGCCGTTTATCTCGTTGGAAACAAAAGCATAGAATAGAAAACGGTATGACGACGTCAGGCGGACGAGGCTTGTCTGAAAGGGGGATTTCACGATGTTCAAGCGACAGAGCCGCTTATGTATATATTATGAGAGCAGACAAATTAGCCTCGCGCTGAAAGGGTATATCGCGTTGAGTTTTACCCACGCCTCCGTTATTTGTCTTCAGTGAGTCTTCTAACACGAAGGTCTTTTTGCGCATTTCTAGGATAATATAGAATAGTATGTATAATTGTAGTCGCGGTACTATTATGCACTTGTATCGCATTCAATTGTGATTCGTATCGCCCCAACGTTGCATTAGGCCAACATCACAAAAAAGTTGTCGCCGTACCGTTTTGCTAATGCTAACAATGCCGATGCATTACTTTGGTTGTTGTTGCCATCGGTGGCCTTCAGTTCTCCTGTAGAGGCGTTAAACACAACTGCATATCATATTTGATGGATAATTGTTATATGGAAAATTTATGGTTCCGTTTATATGCTGAGTTGCAGTTCGTTCGCTCGACGTTGGTCGTCTCACAGCCGACAAAACAAGAATAGATTAGATACGCGGCAGCAGGCGTTGATATATCTGGATAGCGTCCAAAGGAAACTGCCGACCCGTAGACACGCATCTAGGGTAGCAGTAACTTGCCTCGACTGCATAGTTCAACGCATCACACTGACGTTAAACGTATTCCCTGTGACGGCCGGTCCCTAAATAGAATTATTGTTTTTATTACCTTGTTATATATTGTTACACATCTGAGCTCGCAAAGATTGTTTCGTTCACATGCGTTGATTGGCGATGTTAGACGTTGAACGCAAGATATCATTATAGCAGAGTGGTGATGATGCTCAAGAAGCAGTGGCCAGATCAGCAAAAGCTTTCATTGTGCTGCTCAGAGACAATGATGTGTATGTTTGTCGGGGTATCGCTGTGCGATGAAGGGTAGATAAATGGGTGTAAAATTGATTCCATGGTGGTTGTGTTTGAAAATCGGCAGAGACGAAGGCTTCTGTTCCCAAATGGCGCCCGCAGGAGCCATTCTTCGAGGGTCTTCGATCTAATCATAACCGCTGTCGTTATTATCTTCGATTTTGTTGCTTTTGTTGTTGTCGATGTTGTTGGTGTAGCAATTTGATACCATGCAGATCCAGGCTCATCTGATACAGTATAATAACTCCATTTAAATCGATATGCTTAGCTATTATCTAGGGCAGAATAACAAAACGATCTGTTATGTACAACAATAGATCATTCATGCAAAAAATAATAATTATTAAGTAAAATTAATTAATTAATTAATAACGAATTACTAATAAGGTTGTGTTCATAAAACAATCGTTATCAGAGATGAAGTTTAACTTATTGTATCTAGTAATTTATCTTCTGTAACTGAAATCATCATTTAACTTCTTACAACGCCAGCATTTGAAAGATCAATAGCTGGCACTGTAACATTCACTGTATCTATATAAAAGACACGGGTTTATAATTTTTTCTATTTATCTTAATTCGACTGAGCCTTCAGCATTGTGTACCCTTATCAGGACTGAATAGCCAGCTTCATGTAATTCTAAATAGATTTTAATCAGCTCTTAACGATAGTTGTTGCCTGCGAATTTCTATGTGGGTCCTGAATATAATGAACGTTATTTTATACGTAAGCGTAACGTATATTGACGTATTAAGTGTATTAAGCGTAACGTTAATATTAACAACGTACTGTAACAACAGGGCCTCGATATTTTCATACATCTTCGAAAGTATTTAGATCGATAAAGCCCTAAAGCACTGACTGTTTTCTACAGTTGATTTAGTTTTTTTCACCGACACGACTCAGTGACAGGGCTCATAAAGGTTCAATTCGGTAGACAGCAAGGAAATTATGGAAGCCGAGAACTACGTAGATTGCAACGCTACCATCGGCTCCCATACCTCCATCTTACCACAAAGACAACAACATCTCTCTCTCTCTCCCTCTCTCTCTCTCACTAAGCTCACGTTTTTGAGATAACCTTTCAAGAGCGCCATTTTTGATACTTAAAATTCGGCAGAGAAAGAATAGGGTAGGAGGCCGTGGGGGCCATTGATTCCTTCATCAGAATGCCTCTTGCACAGAATTTACTTGACGATATAGAATCGTGAAGCAACTTCGACGGCGATTTCTTAATACAGCCATCTATTCTATACGTGTCCTAAGGGCAAACGTCGTTTATAATTGTTATGAGTATCGCTTAATCATTCGGCGAAGATACGCCTTGCCTTTTCTGCTGGTCCGGACGACCGGTGACTACAAGCTCGTACTACAATATGTTAGTTCTGTCCAACGAAGCGGATAAATAATTGTTCGGACGCCCATAATAATAACAACGATAACAACAAGCTCGGCGGCAATATGAAAATAATTACCGGAGCAGTGTATGTTGTATGTCCTAAAAATCTATATTGTCCTATCATCTGATCCTAATTAGTCAAGAAATTTTGCCGTGTCGGATACAAATTGAATTATAGTGTTCGTTTGTAGTGAGCGGTGCCACCGGCCATCTATTGTGTGTCACATAATTGATCACTTCAACAATGAACAAACCAGATTTAATGCTGGGACCGTAGGTTACTTCATTAATATTGCCACTATTGGTTTCAACAAATAGTAGACCCTATATGGGATGATAGTACATATGTATGTCTTTTCTTTAATTCTGTTCAAGAGTGATCCTCGTCGCCCACTAATTAGCCGCGTCACTGTAAATCCGTACGGAACCTTTGCGATCTATCAGCCGCCACTAGCCCTGAAGTTCTACAAGATGAATTATACTCACCCAATGGAATAATCGCTGCAAATAAATGCTCGAAATTCTGTCGTTGTCTGAACTCGCAGTTTTAGCAGGTCGTATAAGTTAGCCAGATCTGGCGTATGCGCGGTCCACTGCTTCATCGATTTCGTTTTCTAAGCAAGATAACTTCTATACGTGTGTCCTACCTATAAAGAAAGACTGTGGCTAACCTCATATTCAACTGCGGGAAAATCCTTTTCTGCACCATGCTCACATCGAACGAAAGCTGTTTTCTGCCCAATTTTATGTTGATATGAGCTTTCCGTCCCATGGTATAATACCGTTACTTTGGGCAGTTGTATTTGTTTCGACGCTCGATTATTAACAATACATAAGTGTCAATACCGGAATTGCGTGTGTTATCTCGATCTAGTAGTGTCCTTTAAGAGGGACGTGTGTACCAAAAATGGACGTAAAGTTTTTCGCTCGAAGCGAGCCGCAAACGTGTCCGACGAAGCTGTCCGGTTTCCTACATTACTTATCGCTAGAAGTTTTGAAAAATTGTGTTTTGCCTGTCTTGCAAATGAAAATCGCTTGGAGTGGACGAATACTGGCAGACTGAAAGTTTGAAAGGTGGTGCCCCTTTTCCTGCGGCGACCTAACGAGCATCAATGTCGCAGTCAGAGCAAAAGTAGGCTGAAGTAGCAGGCCATCTCAGTTAGCTTGCGTCGAAGTGCCGCGTAGGCCAAATAGTACAAATAGGCGGATGGTCAGGGCTTCATTGATTTGCCAACGACGCTAGGTAATCGAACGTGGCAATATGGAAGTGATGAACAAAGCCTTTATTTGCTGCGAACCTTTCGAAGTAGTCGTTTGCCGTTTGGCTATAGAGAACATTTCAGAAAGTCTTGCCGAAAAGAACGCGCACAAGAGAGGCTATACAGATAGAAAAACAAGCAGCTATAAAAGTTCAAAGACAAATTGATATATAGATTCGACGAATATGCGTGTACATATACTACTGGATTGCTGCCTTTGTTGGGATTCGAGTTGTCCCGAGTGAGATTTTCTGCTTCGAGTTGGCCTTAGGCCAAAATCAAATAGGCAAAAGCAAAGAACGAATGCAAGCTTCTACTTTCAGGCGCACTGATAGTCATGACGAGCCGTGATATATACGTACATATTTCGACGATTATACGATAGGGTGGTGCGTCCAAATTGCGAAAAACTTTGACAGACTGTTTGTCGTGACGGGCATACGTACGCACGTTCGTATCCCACTCCCGGTATCAGATGAAACCCAATTTTTTTTTTATAATAAACAAACCAACTTGTTTTGGCGAATCGCGGTGCGCCACTTTCGGGATTCGAGCAAAGATTAACTATTATACTATCTTCCCGCGCCGTACGAAGTTCGAAAATGATTGAAGATTTTTTTATCTCGAAAGCGATGCTCTACATCATTGTTACCCTTCGTGCGATTTTTAATAGTCCAGAAAAGACTCTTAAAATAAACTAGCGGACTATGAATAAGTTTGAGATTTAAACGACTTAAAAAAATTAATCAAAATGATGAAAAAAACAAAAGGACATTTTTAATAAACCGGGATACCGATGCAGGCTTAACATTCGTGTTGGAGAAGAGAATATTACTTGCTAATAAGGTTATCCAGACAAGCTCCAACAATTAGCCTTTTTTAAAACCTTTTGTGCCTTTTTGGACCTTTTAAACATTAGAAAATGTTTTGAGTTTTCGGGACTTTCGACCTATCTATCGAAAATTTAATTCTGCTAAAATTTTTTTACGCTTTAGCGATACTTTAAGCAGTTCAAGCGTACCAATATTTTATATTATATAAAAATATATATATATATAAAAAGAAATATTTTGAAAATTTAAGGAACTGTAACTGTAGTAAATGCTAGTCACATTGGATAAATACGAGCTTCAAAAATGACGCCTCTGGTCAACGCAGGGTACTATATTATATTGGATAGATACAGTGTCTTAATAATAACAAGCATGGAGGATTCTAAATTTAAACGTAACACTTTGTATATCATACGATAGTAAAAAGGATTACTATCTAGGAGTTTTTTTTGGCTTACTAAGATGTTACCATCCTGGAAGCGTGACGAACATATCTAGTAGCTACTTTTATCCGTTTTAGGAAAAATGATCATATTATTTGTATATTATCGTTTGGTGCTGTATAGATTTGGTGCTAACAAGCAAATGCTTATTTATCATAAATCATTTTCCGGTTAAAAATGATACAAAAAATTCCACCCAATGATATCAATGTCCTACATAAATAATATATTCATAGAGTAACATCAGCTAAAACAGGAACATGTTACTAACCTTCACGTACACCGTTCTAGTACCATCTATTTTTATACAGATTATTTTGCATTTCAGCCACCAGCTAGCACCATGATCTCATTCAGTTGGCAGGAGACGCTATATGTACTGCTGCTCTGAAAGAAATCCGCTCTTTGTCATACGTTGAGTAGCACCATTGCCACGAACGACGCCATTGTTGCCTTTGCTCAAATCTGTAAAGTGCCATAAATGATACCGTACTTTATGTGACTATACCTATGCCCGAAACATTGGCTTTGTGTTCGTGTTTCTGGTGTGGGAGGGTCGTTACCAGACAGACGATTTGCCATTGATTGCAAATTATGTTGAAATGAAATATCCAAGCCGACCATTGTTAGTAATTGAGTTGTAGCGGCACTATTGCGGCATGTAGCAGCAGCATAGGCCAGAGAGCCATTGCCGCACTACACAAATGCATATACTCATACGTCGGGTGAAACCTGTAATAAGATGGCTATACGTATAAGCGTTGGCATCGACCAGCTAGATAGACATGCCGTTTGGATGAGTGATTTGTGTACGTTGATTCGAATACGCGTTCATCGTATAGTCTTCATACATCCTCATCTATTTTCGCCGGCTAACGATAGGGATGACGCGGTCGCCTTGGTCACTTCGGCTAGGATGAAGATAATGGCGACTACGACGACGAAGGCAGCTATTGCGAGCAACAAACGCTGTACGCACACACTTATCACGGTAATGCTATACAATGTCCTAGTCACTTCGGTAGCCGCGATGACATTTTGCGGTTGGTAGGAGTCGTACCAGATAGTGATGCTGACGTTGTAGCACCGCTGGCGTGAAATAGAAAAATAAATCATTCGATAAAATTATCGCTAAATAACATCCGCTTGACTGACGCTTGTCGGCGCTACATTGGCGTTGTACGGCAGTGCTGTTATCGTTGTGGCTGTGACAGCTGGTTTCAAACGGTGATGACTATAGAAAGGTATCATCATAACAGCAGCAGTAAACGGTTTATCAAGCTTCATCGATCATCTCCTTAAAAAGCTCATGTAGCCTTACACACGAAGACCAGCCCCATGTGTTTGTATAATGCCCCGAACGTATTTGTCATCTTATTATCGTTAACATCATCATCTAATCTGTGTGCGTGTCATCTGGAGAAGGATAAATAGAGGACGGAGCAAGCCGAAAGTTGTATGATTTTATTTATATGAGTAATTAGTTCGGAGGCTTTCGTCCTTTGATTGTTGCTACATGGATGCTTCGCACTGTAAATACATAGATGTTTTTCCGAGTCCTCTCTTACGTTCAATAGCATGCCGAGAGTAGTGGCAAAAGCTGTTGCTGTACGGAATTCCTTGTACGGTAACGCTTCGGCTGACGCTGGCGGCCTTGAAACAACATATAGGCAGATACAAGCTTATTAGCAGCAGTCGCACTACAATGTTAATGTTGACAAATTAGCTTTCCCCGCACCCCGTATGTCGGCGGCAGAATTGACGATGAAATCAAGCGGAAAAAAATGGCGCAAAAATTCAAATAGGAGCAGAGCGCAGAGGATTCACTGGTAAACACTCATGTACAGCCGTAAAACTGCTTTGTTTATCTATTTGAGAATGCTCAGGCAACGATGAAGCCCCGGAACGACCTGGGACAGCTGAAATACGTCAGAGCCGATTGCACAACGAAGAGTAATGGTGTAAAATTACTTTTTGGGAAAAAGAACGATAATCAATTTCTCCGTGTTGAACCGTGATTGAAGACGAGAAATATTAAGAGCCGTTCTCTTGAATTGGTACCTTGTTGTGTTTAATCTTAAACCGAAAAATTACAGCTCCGTAAATAGGAACCAGTGATAAAATGTCGCAGACGCGTCATTTTGCGATATTGTCAGCGAAAACTCGTAACTGTATCGTGGTTAAGGAGTAACTTAGACTTGGCTTTTTCGTGACTATGATGATCAAAGTAGAAGTAAGAAACGCTATGATGTGTAAACCGATTATGAGGGCTGACGTCAGCCAGCGCGGCGCTATCTATAGCAGTAGATTTGTAAGGGCGATTTTGCCCCTTCTGTAACTACTCTGTTAACGCGTTTCCATTTTCGCGTTATTCTTTGAAGTGCGATCGGAGCCATTGCGTCATAGACGTCTTAGCCAATCTATATAGTAGTTAAGCGCTGCGGTATCCGTTTCTGGTGGGTTATTATAAACAAAAAGCCATATATGAGATTGCAGGGTGCCGTCATCCATGCGCTTTACACTAGTCAAAGTATAACTCCACATTCATTTCAAATTTCAATAAACTCTCTCGTCCTATGGGTGTTCTTCTAGAATTGTTTCAAGATACTCCAGTTATATGTTGGCAATGTAAGAGTCAAATGTAGGTAATGCATTAACTCTTTATCGCCGGCGAGGTTATCAAATAAAACAGATCCTGTATAGGCTGTTTCGTAATACCACAATCTAGCACGTCTTAGCTCAGCCTGGCTAGAGGCAAAATGTATTTAGGGTGGCTTGCGAATAGCATGCAAGGACTATTCAGACGGTATCGACCAGGGGCAGGTCGCCGTTTTCGCCATGCTTCACTGGTCATCTGACAAATGCTTTATTAATTATCGCTGGAAAGATCAGCCATGGTAGATAGCTTGGTTCAGCGAAGTTTCATCAGACTCAATAACAGCAGTGTCGTTATGGCCGCACCAGTGAGATATTACTATCACATTATAGGATAATGCTACACACTTAATAGTCACATGGATAATGGCAGAAACGATGGATTCAAATGCCTTGTTCAATGTTTACGTTCTGCCTTCTTTGACACCGGCGCCGTCGAAGAGTCTACGGC